AAGATCTTCGCGGCGACTGTTTCGTTCCGCCTCGCGCAATGCCTCTCGAACGCTACAGAGCGAGTCGCCGAGAGAGTTTTCGTCGATGGTGTCACACTCTTCATGCGTAAGGCACGCCATTCTGTAGGCTATTGGAAGCGGCGGAACATCATTAGTAGTAGGAAGTGAGTGTGATAGGACAATCAGAGCATGTCATCCCATCGGGGAGCCGAAAGAGGGAGCTTCAAGATAATTAGCGATCCCCTGCACTGCTCTATACGACTACTACATGCCGTTCACGTGACTTCCCTAGTAGCGTAATGGCTAAAGTACCTTTTCTAATCGCCAAAGTTCCTCGGACATTTTTCGCTCCTTTCATCCAACCTAAACTGCACTTATCATGTCTCGTACAGTTCTAATCAACAACATTCGCGAGTTCATCTGCAGGCAGGCAGGCTCATTGATATATAATACTCTTTAAGAAGTATTATATATTTAATTATATAAGTGAGTTTAATTATATTATTAATAATATAAGCTTAAAGAAGAGTGTATTATTTAAAATCTATCTTATTCTTAGTAAACTTAAGTATAAAAATAAACTTATTAATAGCTTATTTTTAGCGTATATAATATAATTAAAGTAAAGTAATATATTTTTATTTCTTAGTTTATTTAGGTAATTAAGGAATTTCTTAGTTTAAAAAATAGTTAAAGCTTTAAGGTCTTAAATCATAGAATATTAATAGCGTAAGTATTAAAGAGAATTCTCTTAATAACCTAAAGGGTATTACTAAAAAGAGCCTTAAAGGGAAGAAGGTTTAAAGGGTTTTAAAAGGTATATAGGTTTCTCCATTAAGAAATTAACGTTAATAAATTAATATTATTTACTTAAAGCTTTTAAAGGGGTTTTATTAAGATTAACCTAATTTAAGAATAAAATTTAATAGATTTGATTAGCTATTCTTTTTAATAATAAGGTAAGAGTAGGTAATAGAAAGCTATTTAAGAGTGTTAAGTTATTTAATAATAAGATAAAAGAAGTTAATTAAAAGCTTAAAGTAAAAGTTTATTAAGTCTAGATTTACTTCTATAATAAGTTATTAATATAACGGATATTTACTCTTTTTATAGCTAAACGTAACTCTATTACGTTTATTAAAGTGTAAAATCCTTTAGGTTTTATAAGGGAACCTAATAGGTTACTTTTAATAGGGATATCTTTTAATGTATTTAAGAGGGAGATTATAACGTTTTATAATTAAAGGGAGTATTTTTAAGTGGGTTTCTTAAATAAAGTAAAGGCTTAAGTTAGTTTTTTAGGTATACTTAATAAGAAGAAGTTATATATTATAAAATTATTATTAAGAGAATAAAGTAAGAGAAGAACTATAATAGAATTCTCTTAATAACTTAAAGGGTATAAATAAGATTAGCTTAATTTAAGAATAAAATTTAATGGATTTTAATAGAGTTAATAATATTTTTTCTTTAAGATTAAAGGGCCTTATAACGCTAAAATTTTAATGTTTTAACTAAGAGAGTAGGTAAGTATAATTACTACTATATAAGGGCTTATAAAAGGGAGCTATAGTAAGGTTATAAGAGCTTATAATATAACTAATAAGTTATATTATAAGAGAGCTAAAAGAAGTAAAGAAGTTAATTATACAGAAGAAGAAGAAGAGCTAGCTAGAGGGTGGCAGCGTAGCAACAATAACCTGGTGCCTCACACGTGACCATGTGGGCCCTAACAAAACAGGTTTTATCACTATCATGATTATTCCGATGCAAACTTTTCTTCCGGCTGGGACTTGCATACTATGCGCAACTACCACTGCATAAGAGACTGTAATTTCACGAACCGGGTTTTTTTAACACCCGTCTCCATTATAGTCGTCGTGTTATTATGGGAGTGGTACGGAGTGAGCTGAACAAGGGTGAAGACGCCAAAAAACGCTCGTCTCAATGCATATGGGCACGCTAATTGGGCTAGTTGGTTTTGAATCGTGTTTAGCGTGCGAGGCTTGAGCAATAGACCAAAGCACAGGAAAGAACAGGGAACCGAACAATGTTGCACTGTCGTCTGGCCTGTGCTAATAGTGTATATCAATGGCCACACCGTCCCTTCAAAACGAGGGCTGGCCGTCGGACATATTGCTGGAGGAAGTAAGAGTTGGTAATTGATTCAGCGCAGAGGTCTCGTGCTGAATGGGCTTGGGGTCGCCGTCCCCTGCAACTCGACGGTAACAAAAATCTTTCAAACAAGTATTCCAGTTTTAGTGGTATTGTATACAAACAACGTTGCTCCTTACGTACGAAACAGGCGCATGAGAGAATTTCTCCCTTAGAATGCCAAGAATAGTCTTACGCATAGAAACCCCAACAGTGATTGCGTTTGGCGGTCAGCTTGGGGCTGGCTGGCCATCTCGGCTGACGAGATGCCTGAGCGTCCGTCCCTTGCACCACATGGTCAAGCTGATAATGGCCACAATGGTGACATATACGCGTACGCGGCAATAATAAGGCAGTCTTGAATTTGGGGAGACAACAGACCAACCACAACTATAGCGGCGGCGTTGACTTGCGCCATTATCCTTGAATTTTGCCGGCCGACTGGTCCTAGGTCGAGTCCTCAAGCTGGCTGGCAAGGTATGGTGCAGAGGGCAAACTATGACTGACTATTAGCCGCCATCGAATTGTCTCTTGTCCCTCTTCAACAAGCACACATACTAATCACTGGAGTACATGCATGAGCACGTATTGGCCAAGTACTCACCGCCCGGCCACATCGGCGATGGGCATTTCCTTGGTTAATGACGGTAACTTTGCGCATGAAGCATGAAGCATGAAACGCCACGGCCGCACAACTCGGCCACGCCGTCGGCGGAGGCTAGGTCTATTAATCATTCAAGGCATGAATAACGATGCTTCAAGAGATGAACCAGCTGACGGAAGCCAAGAATGCTAAAATTGCGGAGAAGAAGCTTCCGAAAAACTTGCAGGACAAGCACGTCCAGTCTTGTGCCATCCAAGTTCGAGGATCGAGGTGCGCCGCTGCGCTGGTGTCCGGATTTTGTTGCTGTAAAAAATGTCGCATTCGGCAATGACGACCCTCCGCCATGGCATACATAGCCGGTCGCGCAATCCAAAGATGCAGCGAAGGACCAGAAAGGAGGGCATCTAATTTGACAGAAGTTGTCGTGACAGGTAATTTGGGGTCCTGGCCTCGAGGCCGATCCAGGCTCAGGCTCAGGCACCCAAGTTGCCAGGCCTCGAGGTACTTGTGACTTTGCCGTCCGTTGCGAGGCGCGTACCTGGCCGCCCTTGTCCCGGCGTTGACGGCACCTAAAAGTGGCTTCCCGTGACCAGGCAGGAGGCGACATGAAGCCACATGGAGGTACCTGGACTGGCAAAACTGGCAGGCGCGACGAGCCCACCTGCCCGCCTCGTCATGTTCCTGGCTCAGGACCCACTTCAGAACATGGAGGGATGGAGGGATGGGGCAAGACGCAGCCTCCCGTCATCTCACCAATCTCACAATGCTCATGTTTGCGCTGGGTAATGTCCCGAAAAGCCATGCCCGCCCTGTAGGCCTCCACAGCTACCTGGATAGGCTGGCGGACAAGGCGATTGTAGCCAAGGTCGATGGAGTACGGAGCAGGTGCCATCCAATTTGCCTGGTGATTCAATCTCCCTCCCTTGAGGAAGTTGATACAAGCGGGCTCTCGCTCAAAATCAGACTCCTTCCTCAAGATCTGGTTTCGCGGACTTTTGCTCCTTCTGCTCCTTCTGCTCGGTGAGTTGCGCCCCCCAACGCTCCCGCCCCACGAGAAAAGCCGATATCTGGACCGTCTCAAGTTGTCAGCTCCAGCTCCAGCTCCCGTAGTTGCGCTCCGAGCTCTGAGACTTGACCTGTTCAAAAAGTGAGGGTTCATCGGGCTGCCCGCTGCCGACTCACTTGCCGGTATATACAAAACTTGACCGACCTCCTGTCTGTGGTGCTGTGCATCTCAGTGCTGCACAGCTGGGACAAACAAAGAAGCACCGGCGATCCTACCGCGTTGACACGACGACGACCGATCCTGACCAGAACAGCTCCTCGTCGCGTTGGAGTGGATTGCAGGCCCCGTTGAAGCCGCCCGCCCGCGTTCTGGCTGCGCTCCACCAACCAGTTACCTGCAGTGCAGAGGCCACTCAAATCAAAAGCCAGCATCCAATGCCGAACGTGAGCTCAGGCTTTCAAGTCACGTATCCAGACAGCAAGAGTAGTGTGTGTGTGTGTGAGGAAAGCGTCAACACGAGCCAAAGAATTTGCTTGGATCAAACAGATCCTTACGAAGTCCAGGCAGAGCACCTTCCTTGGGTGAGCGTCTGCCGTCTCCCGTAGCGCCGCCCCGTCCAAGTCGCCCACTTCTTCCATCGACCACTCAACACCCGACCACTCATCGCCTTGCCCACCACCAGCCTGGTCACCCGCCAGTCGACCACTCAGGGGCTCGTAACTTCTGGGCCTCGACGCTCGACGAAACGACAAATCGAATAGCCCGCGACTTGACCGCTGAAAACATGAGATAACGGGGCCTGCATTATTGGCACAACCGCAGACCCAGATTTCCTGCGAGTCTGCTCTTATTTTTTTTCCGTGCCTGCCTCAGCAAGCTACGCTGCTGCCTTTCGTTCTGCCGGGTACATTCATTTGTCCCTCTTGATCCTGAATCCGGATCCCCCCTTGTGGCCTCCCGCGCGTCAACGCAACGCAACGCAATTCTGCGCCGCGCAGCTGACGAGCCGGCTGAACCTACCACGACGCCCAAGCTGGCTGTTGCGCCACTTGGTTGCTCTGCATCAAGGCGCTGTCGTCTGCTATTGCATCTTACAACATACTTTTTGCGCGTTCGTCGATTGATCGCCGCCAAAACGGATTCTAAATACAACCTTCATCACCCTTGCATCGGCCCACGGCGCCGCTACCGAGGCCAGTTGCTCTTCCAGCCTGATATTCAGTGAAAATTGGGAAGATGTCGTCGGCAGCTCTACAGTCAGCCCCCCATCAGCCAATCGCTCTGCCTTCGGGCCCGGTGCCTTCTTCCAATCTTCAATACGGCTCACCACACTCTTCCCCCGGCCGGGAGCCATACGATGCTCATCGAGCTGTAGCCTCATCGCCCTCCTCGAAACGGCCCCCTTCCCGCAAGACGAGCGGTGGCGGTGGCGGTAGCGGCTCCCCTTCTGCTGATCAAACCGTCCCAAGATCAAGTCGGCACAATAGTTCTGCGCCGCTACCACATGAGCATCGTCCCTCCCGATCTGAACGCCCAGCCAACATGCCTCCAGTTGCTCCTCCTCGGACGTCTTCTTCCACTCAGCAACTTGCGAGTGGCCGAAGAATACACCATCCCAACGACGCGACCGGCAGCTCCCAACGTCACAATCAGGCGGAAGGACCACGAAGTGGCTCGCGTGGTGACACAAATGGCTACTCGGATGCCCCAAGGAGCAAACGAAGCGCCAATTCTCACCAGCCTCAGGATCAGCCTCGCCCTTCCAGCAATGCAGATGAGAGAGCTGCGGAAATGACAATACCCATCCGCAACAACCCGACGTCGAGCTCGAACTTCGTACACGATCCTAATGACAACTTCATCCGCGTTGTTTCCACTTCAGAGGACCCGACTGGCCGGGTAGACCACCATACCTCGTCGCAAGATCATCAGGATGCTGCACAGCCACCTGTTGTACCTATGAATGCTCCGACCGAAGAACGTCGTGGCGGCCGCAGCCGGCATGACCATAGTCGCAGCCACAAAGGAACCACCAAATTCGGAGACTTCATTCTGGGGAACACAATCGGCGAGGGTGAATTCGGTAAGGTGAAGTTGGGCTGGAAGCAAGATAGCAGCGTACAGGTATGAACTAGACGGAATCACTGCTGCCCATCCTCAAAGCCCTGGAGGCCAAGCTGACTTACAACCCACTAGGTTGCTATTAAATTAATAAAGAGAGACACTGTTGGTGGTAACCCTTCACGACTGGGCAAAATCCGACGCGAAGTCACAATTCTGCGAGGCGTGCAGCATCCTAATATCGTACGATTAATAGACATGATAGAGACCGATAGATACATCGGAATCATCCTCGAGTATGCTTCCGGAGGCGAACTTTTTGATTACATTTTGAATCACCGATATCTGAAAGACCACTCAGCGCGTCGCTTATTTTCACAACTAGTTTCTGGAGTTGGCTATCTGCACAAGAAGGGCATCGTTCACAGGGATTTGAAGTTGGAGAATCTGTTGTTGGACCGTAACCGAAACATCATTATTACCGATTTTGGCTTTGCCAATACTTTTGATCCCAACGAAGAGCTCACAGACGATGAAGAGTCCAACCTGGGAGACCGGGATAAAGTCAAGAGACTGGGTCTGGATAAAATCAAACCCAATGGCATGAGAAAAGGCGACCTCATGCAGACAAGCTGCGGAAGTCCATGCTACGCTGCGCCCGAGCTCGTAGTCAGCGACTCCCTCTATACCGGCCGAAAAGTTGATGTCTGGAGTTGCGGTGTCATTTTGGTATGTATCCCGCAAGCTTGTCGGCCCTTTCGCGTCCCGTGTCAATAGTATTGTTAATTCATCCTACAGTACGCCATGTTAGCAGGCTATTTGCCATTCGATGACGACCCTGCGAACCCTGAAGGCGACAACATTAACCTGCTCTACAAGTACATAGTTTCTACCCCTCTCACATTCCCCGAATATGTCACACCACACGCACGAGATCTACTGCGTCGAATTCTAGTTCCCAACCCCCGAAAGCGAGCCGATTTATTCGAGGTCGCTCGTCATAGCTGGCTGAGCGAATATGCGCATGTTGTCGAGTTCATTACCAGCTCCACCACACTGCCCTCGGACGTCCAGAATGCGACCACGATGGCCCAGGAGTTCGTCGACGCTCCCATGGTGACGAGGAGCGCCTCTGTACGTGAGGCACCGAAACACAAGTCTCCTTCTCAGGCTGGTGTTGGTGGCCTTGCCAAGGCACATGCAAAGATTGACCAGGAGGCTGAGCTGGCCTATCGCACACCCAAAGATGCTAAACGCCGAACCGTTCAGGTCGAATATGTTGCACCAACAACGCAAACACAACGTGGGGGAGATCCCGCTGTCTCGCGGCCGCCAGTGTCGCTTCACCGGGACTACGACGATGTCCGCCCAACGTCTTCAAGAGACAAAACTCTACCTCAGGGTTCTCCAGATGTACATGGCAGATCATCTCAATCGAAGCGACCGCCGAGTGCTCATACCACGACTTCAGCACGTCCGCGTGAGGTTCGTGCCGCGACGGACAACGTCTACATGACTGGAGCCTCAACTACAGCCAGACCTCAGACTGGAGGCTCTATGCAATCAGCTGCCTCAATGAGCTTGCAAGCACGAGGCAGCTATGGACAGCCTGCCCCGCCAGCTGTAGCAGACACTAATGTTCAGGGCCGTATACAGCAACCTTCGAATCCCGACGACGACGACGCCATGGGCCGAACAAGTATGAGTGTGCCACCCAAGTTTGCTAGAATGTCTGGCTTCCATGAGGTGCGAAGTAGTGACGGGAGGGGCCATAAGAGATCAAGCACGATAGGAGACATTGGTTCAAAGCTCCTCGGCCGTAGTGGATCCGTGTTTGGCGGCCGAAATAAGAAGAAATCAGAACAGCAGCAACCTGAAAAGTCGAAGAAATATCCGCCTGTAAGCATGACCAATGCCATAGCGCAAGGAGAAGAGCAAATGGGCAGGGCGTCGGTAGATTCCAGGTCGTCTCGTCGGTCATTCTCCTTGGGCATTGGCAAGAAGAGGAGCGGCAGCATCGCAGGGTCCCAAGGCTCTGGTGACAAGAAGGAGAGACGGCGGTTCTCTCTGCTACCGGCTTCTTTTTCATTGAAATCTATTGGCCTAGGCAAGGAGTATTCAGAGCCTGCCTCATCCGATGTGGGATCTCATACGGATTTGCCTATTCAATCAGGCCGACTGGATCCTCCGAGAAGCGTTACCGCCCCAGGTGATGCAAGAGGAAGCACGCCCTTTTTTGACAATGTGCAAGAAACAGCTAGCTCGAGTCCTGCCTATCACCAGCGTTATGCCTCGGCGCAACTGGATAACCGTCGACCCAACGCAATTCCTCCATATATGCAATCTGGATCCCACTTTAACAGCGGGTCTGAAACGTCGGTAGAGATCCGTCGGCCGCCTACGGAGCCGCAGACGAGATCCCACAGCCACGGCTTCTTTGACGTCGAGGGTTACGACAATAAGCGAGCCAGCAGCAGCCGGGGACAGCGAGGCGCTTTGCAGAAGAATCACAAGCGATTCACAGATGCGTATGACCAAGATGAATATAGGGGACATGAGGGAAGCAGTGGGGCCGCGAAGCGAGTCATGGATTTTTTTAGAAGACGAGGCAAGGCTCGAGGTGGCGATGAGAGGTGATGAAGAGTTGGTAGATTTGAAAGGTGCCGGTGCAAGGAAACGTCAGCGATTGACAGAAACGACGAGCAAAGACATTTCAGGCGATGTTTAGCGTCGGTTCATCCTTTCGAGGGTCTCATACCCAGCGAGTTTTTTGCGGGTGTGCAGCACAAGTGCGCCACGGACAGTCGCCTCTTGGCCGCTTTTGTTGTGCTCAGACTCGGCATGCAAAGATTGATTTGGAGAACATTTCTTGAGAAATGCTCGCAGGCTCCTCGCGGCCCACGGTGGTTTGCCTCGTGGCGCAGGGGGAAGACATAGCGTTGTGAGGGTTTTTTCTTTTTCAACTCATAATGCCTCAAGGCTAGTTTGGGTTGTGATTTTTCTCTGTTTCTTGGCTGTTGGTTTCTTTACACTTATTTTCCTGTCTTTCCTTGGTTCTGTATTCCTCGCAGAATGATACCGCAATATTATGCCCGTTTCATATCTAGAGGGTCCAAATAATGAAAGACCAGATGTGGATGTACATGGGGGGTGTAGACGGAATGCGACCCGAGCCTGCAGCACGATAGGCGGCGAAGAAGTCAACGGGCATATGGGAGAAGGGACCGATTTTTAATCGATGGGAGGGGACGCCTGTGCGTGGTATACTTTTTTTTTTTGAAATTTGTATTTTTGTTCCCTTTGGGCATTGCTGGAGCGAGCAGTAACATTGGTGCTTTTACTGAAAGGGGTTCGATGATGTGAGGAGGGCCGGAGCCGACGGTTTTTACCCATAGTACAGAAGATTACGGCGAGATGAAAATTGGTCAGATACGTTGAAAAGGCTGAACTGGTTTGTCCCAAGAGCTGTGTAACCAATGCCGCGACTCATGACGTACTGGTCAAGGATACGGCCGTGCCAATAACCCGCCACTACAATAAATGTATGCCGGACTCTTGCTCACTGAAGAACTCGTTTTTTCCCTACCGCATTCTTGCCCTCTCGAATGATGGTCTACCCGCATCTGGGATCTGACGACTTGCATTTTCCTCGGCCAGCCCGGATAATCGGCAACACGAAGTGGTTATCTGCCTTGAAATGGGAGAGTGGGGATGCATGGTCAGTGTGCACATTGCATGGTCGGTACGGATACTCAGTAATCAAATGAATATCTCTTTGCAATTCGCACAGGGCGATAAAAGATGGTCGGAATTGTATGCTTTGAAGTATCAAGTGGTTGCCTGTCTGGTGGTCATGAGCGAAGAAGGCGGCTCGACGTACGTCAAAAATGCACCACGGGCGAGAATACCCGTGCCGAAGACAACAGTTCACTTGTACCACTTAGATGGGCAACCTGGTCTTTAACATGACAGGATTTTTTGCACGGCTGATGCATTTTGGGTTTATCAATGATACGTCATGGCAAAGACTGGTCTCGTGCGCAGGCGACGATCAATTGCTCTTTCTTGGACAAATGCATCCCGGCCCAATGAATGGACAAGGTGGACTGTGGACGCAATGACGTGCTGCGTTTTCAATCACGCTGTACCGCGTTCCGTAGAAGTGATGATTGATAGATAGTCGCTTTCACCTGTCCGCCGACCCTCACCCTCGTTACATTTCGACTGCCGAGACATGAATGGCCTGAAATGGCCAAGAGGCGGGGAGGCCAGGTCTGGACCCTTGATCGGGAAACGGCAGGTATCGAGGCTCAAGTTTGGTTTGCGGTTTGCTCAGCCACGAGGCCGCCAACGTCGAGACCATCAACGACGGCATGTTGGCTGACAGATGCTTGTTTGCTGCCCGCATACCCGGGAATAAGCTTGATTTTGGCCGTGGACCTACGCCACACGCTAACCTAGGTGAATGTGCCGAACCCTTGTGCTCGCTGCTAACGGCGCAATTACGTCGGCGATGGCAAGGGGGCTTTGAATTCTCAGGCTGTGTGCTGCATTGCGTGTTTGCTTTGAAAGGGCGGTTTTTGCAGATGGATGATGTTTGACAAAATCCAAAAGAAAAACGTCATATTTCTGTTCTCCTCGCTGCTACAGAGTAGAGTCTTCTGGGATCGAGACCGTGGTGATGCCTGTAAACCACGAGGAGCCATGCTTCCCAAGGCTGTAGGTTTCACGCCCAAGCAAGGAAAGGGGGGGTGGCGGTGTTTGCTTCAGTCTTGTATCGCAACGCGTGGCCATGTATTAGACTGGGCGGGCGACGATGAGACGCGGGTTGGAATTCATGGCGCACGGGCGCCCAGATCACGGCACAAAGCTGCCGAGATGGTTCAGGGAGTAATGCGTGATGGTTTTTGTGCTCAGCGTGGAGTAGAGACGTGAAGTATTCTGAGATGGCGTTGTCGCAAATTGCACGGGATGTACGGAGTAGTAGCCAAGGGGAAACGAATATCCTTCGGCCGAGGCCCGAGCAAAGTGGCAGGACATATCCCTTTTAATGTGCGTAGGTGCCCATTTTATAACGACCAAGCTAAATTAAAAGATATATAAATTACTTTAAAATTTATATAATAAAAAATAATAAAGAAATTCCATAATAAAGAGGCTACAAGCCCGTACAGGGAGCTAACCCTCGCGAGGGATGGTACTTATTGAGCATCGCAGAAAAGTGGAGTAGATACATAACTGGCACCTACGCACATTCAAAGGGATCAGGCAGAGCGCACGAAACACTGACTGAAGTGGACAGTGGAGCGAAAGAGACATCATACCTTGTGTCTTGTCTCTATGGTTGGTGATTGGATTGTTTGGACGCCATGTTATTTCGCTGTGTTCGTTAGTACGTGGCAGTGTATCTGGAAGCGGAAGGATGGGATGAAGATGAATCAATAGTATGGGGTCTCAAACCTAGGAAAAGGAACAACAGGGGCCTCGGTGGTGATCAGCTCAAAGAAGATGCGTGTTAATCAAAGTCTACTAAATGAGGCTGAGGACTTTGTCACGGCAATGATGGCTTGGAGGTGGTCGCGAGCGTCAATTGATCAGGGCAAACAGCGAACCCTCGAGAGGCAACTACAACGCGAGTGCTGGCGTCACAGCGCCGCTGCCAGACTCGAAGTCGATCGACCAGTCCTCCGTACTACAGATCACATGGCGCATTGCGTTGTGTGTTAGCGGGCCCCGCTAGCAGAGTGGCACGGGTAGTCATGGCGGGGCAGACGCAGCCTTACAAGGGACGGGAGCCGCGGCGGTGCTGCCAGTGCCAGTTCAACGCGCGGACATGGAGCACTTGAGTATTGTTGAATTGGCCACGTGCCCAAAGTCCGACAATCAACTCTCGCACCTCGGTGCCCATCGTAATGATGCCCTGCCTCCGCCTTGTGTACCCCCGGCTGCTCGAACTTGTGCCTGAGCAAGGAACAGCTGCGTCGTCTCGTCATGGATGGACAGTGAGGCAAGTTGAAGTGCGCGCGTGCGACACAGAAACGCAAACCGAAACGGGCGACGACATGGGTCGTTTACTCGTCAGGCTCGCGTTCGGACTAACCTCTGACCTCACCTCACTCACTCACATCCCGGGTTTCCTAGAGATTAACTAACGTAGCAACTGCATCATCACTGATCCACAAAATCTTGATATGTTGCGTCTGCGCGTCCGCGTTCCACTAGCCAGGTTCACTACTGGGTTGAACTTGACCCATCCGCCACGCCTCTCTTCCTGAGCTTTCTTTGCTAGCCCATGCTCCCCTGCCGGCAATTGTAGTAGTAATCGCCTCCTGTACGGAGTAGGCGCAGCTAGTTACCTACGGTAGGTACCTAAGTCAGGGTCGTTCTAGCAAATAACCTTTAGCTCCTTCCTAGATGATGGCCAGATCGCAGTCTTATCTGTGGCGCACCTTCCCTGCTTTGGACTCCCTCCGGTCCCTTGACTCTAGAGTTCAGGACATCACATCGCCCATAAAAGGCACTCCTCTCCCTCCCTCCCCCGCTACCCCCGACGTTGCTTGATTTGATCTCTTCCTGGCTTCTTAGCTCCTTGGCTTCTTATCTCTCCTACCAGACTCTACTACTTCAATTCGCCTCTTCTCTCGTTTCTTGCAACACCGAGCGTAACTCCGCCACTTTCTTCACGCCACTGCCTTTTGCCCTCTGAAAGCGCTACTCGTGCTTCCAACACCTGTTCGATGACACAATCTTCTTCTGATCCTCCTGATATAGACAGCAAAAGCCCTGGTGCATCAGCAAAAGCCTATGGAGGGTTTGATGCTTTGTCCAATCAACAGCATACGGCCACCAACGCCACTTCAATCCCCCTAACTGAGTCGTCCTTCAGCGCCAATGTCCGTGACGCGACTTCTGCTGCTTTCGGGCACAACAAGAACAATGGCAACCCCTCGCGCAGTCTTGGTGGCTCCGTCGCCTTCAATGAAAAGGCCCAGCCCACTGAGTCTGATGCCAACTACCTCAGAGCTCTCCCTGAGAACACTGCGCCTGCTACATCTACGCAAGGTGATAGGCAAGGGTCCATCGTAGAGATCAAAGAAGGCAGTATTGACAAGGACACTACACACAAATCAGACGCCATCGACGATAATACGGGTGATGATGGCGCCTCAATGAAGAAGAAACGAACCTTTGTCGAAGAGCTCCGTAGATCCTTCTGGCTCGTTGCTACGTACAGCTGGCTCAACGTCCTGTTGATCTTTGTCCCCGTTGGAATCGTGGTTGCCAACATCCATGGTGTACACGGCGGTATAGTCTTTGCTATGAACTGCATAGCCGTCGTACCTCTCGCAGGATTGCTTAGCCATGCAACCGAATCTGTTGCCAGTAAGATGGGTGACTCCCTCGGCGCCTTGCTCAATGTGACTTTTGGCAATGCTGTCGAGCTCATCATTTTCATTATTGCATTGGTCAAAAACCAGATTCGCATTGTGCAGGCATCGCTTCTTGGCTCCATCTTGGCGAATCTGCTGCTCATCCTTGGCATGGGGTTCTTCCTCGGCGGTCTTCGCTTTCGGGAACAGGTTCGTTGTGCTAAATCGAATTCTTTCGTGCCACCGCGCGGTTATGAACTGGTTATGAACTAACCACTCTATTATAGATATACAACAGCACTGTCACACAGATGAGCGCTTGTCTACTGAGTCTCAGCGTTATTAGCCTGGTGCTCCCTGTAAGTATCTGTTTGCGTGCATGCTATATATCCTCGCAAAACAATTACTTACCGACCCCATAGACGGCGTTCCACGCATCTTTCAGCGACGACAAGCTTGCAGATGCCCAATCTCTCAAAATAAGCCGCGGGACCAGTGTAGTATGTGGGACCTATTCTCTAAGCAAGAGCCAATTTGATGAATGCTAACATGAACCCACCACTAAGATCTTGCTTCTTGTTTATATCATCTATCTGTTGTTTCAGCTCAAGTCTCATGCTTATATGTATGAATCCACGCCTCAACATATTGTGGATGCCGAATCGACACCTGGTCCTGCTGCAGCATGGTTGGATACCTCCAGCAGTTCAGATGACGATAGTTCCTCTAGTTCGGACTCGGATTCGTCCGGACATTCCCGGGGCACCATTGGCCGTAAAATGAAGAAGGTCTTACGGAATGGAATGCGTCGCAAGTCGTCGCTCGCCTCGATGGACACGACTGATGCCAGAGCCATGCGAAACGGCTCCGTTGGGACGGGAAACCCAAGCTCTAACGAAGAGTCCATTTCTGAGGCATCTTCGTCTCGCAAGCCATATTTTCCCCAAATGCCCTCCACCGATGACGGTGATTCTACCGATGATGAAAAGACTGGCCGGCATCGAAAGCACCGAATGCGTCGACACTCACGTCGCAAGCATAAGAAGAGAGATCGCAAGAAGCACGATAATGATCCCAAGCAACAAGATTCCAGTTTACTGCCTGAGAATAGTGTGCTAGCTAGTGGCGACTCTGAACCACGCCGGGTAGATTTTGCCATTCCTGTCCAACTGGATGCCTCGTCTGGTGCGGCAGCGGAAAGTGGTAACGAGCCCGGCAACACCAAACGCCCGTTTCAAGGTTTCCGTTCCCTCTCCGTCAAGAATCTCGCCCCAAGCGTCTTCGTACAGAATTCAAGTACGCTGGTTGCCGCCCCTCCCACGCCAGCTGGACCTGTCCCTCGCGTTCGGTACGGTATCCGTCGCACAAACTCGTTGCCTGACCGCCTTGGCCAACATCAGCAAATTCGCGCGCCCGGTGCTATGTGGCCGGCCCAGATTCCTCTCATGTCTCTTAATACCGCGGCCGCAGCCACCAAGAGGCTCGACGACGACGATGAGGAGCACTTGACCCGCTGGGCTTCTGTCATCCTTCTTCTTGTCAGCACTGCATTGGTTGCGGTCTGCGCCGAGTTCCTCGTTGACTCTATCAAGGAGGTCACCGAAACCTCGAGTCTAGGAGAAGTCTTTATTGGCCTCATTATCCTCCCTATAGTCGGCAATGCAGCGGAACACGTTACGGCTGTCACGGTGGCGATGAAGAACAAAATGGACCTCGCCATTGGTGTTGCGGTTGGCAGTTCGATTCAGATTGCTCTGTTTGTAACACCTCTGGTGGTCATTTTGGGATGGATCATGGACAAGGAAATGACGTTGTACTTCACCTTGTTTGAAACAGTTTGTCTGTTTGTTTCGGCCTTTATCGTCAATTTCCTGGTCCTGGACGGCCGCAGCAATTACTTGGAAGGCGCACTTTTGTGTGCTGTCTACATCATCATTGCTGTGGTTGCATTTTTCTATCCAGAACCAAAAGATGCAAGTTCATGGGGCAGCTTAGCTTAACATTTGGATTGAGATGAACCAGCTAGTTTCTTGACCAGAATCTTGGGCGTGTATTACTGAGTCCCATGACGTCACCAGGGAATTAAGGGGCAGGTGAAGACTGGCATGAATGTTGGGACGGGTAGTTGTGAGTGAGACCTTTTCAGATAGAGTGGATAGATGTGAAATAAATTTAAAAAAAACGGTCATTCAGCACTATATAGTTCCTATTTGAAACTATTCAGACGGGCAGTGTCAAGCTGATCATTTAGACTGGCGAATATGGAGTCACACAGTTGCGATAGCTCAAGACCATTGTATGTCACGATGCATTGACTCAGTGGCTAGTATAGAGAGGTGAGAGAGATGATGCACGCCTGAGGAAATGTATTTTATTTATTATCATTACCCATAATCATTGCTCGTTTCGTTCTTGTCGTTGTTACATGTTCAGCCAAACTAGCACAGCCTTGTATCAATAATGGACCAGTCTCTTAATTCGCCGGTGTCTCATACTGCTGGACTTGTTCCTCAGTCCAATCCCAAAATGCCTTGGAGGTGCCATCCTCGGCGGCCTTCTTCAAGTCCCCCCGTATAGTCAGAAATCGACCCCAGGGCCCAACTGATTCGACAGTGTTAGCATGCGGGTGACCATGGTGAATGGTAGCTAGTCAACCAAGCAGAGGAACAACAACGAAAAAAAAAAAGATACACTTACTCCAATCACCGGACTGATCCAAGGTTACCGCGGGCGACAATCCCGCAAACAGCTCGGTGTAGGCGCCGAATTTGGGCGGGTGCAGCACAAATGTCTTGAGCACCCTCGACATAAAGGCCGTCTGAGTCCTCCACAGCTCCGAGTCCAAATTGCCCGGGTTCAAGGCGATGCTCAGCACGCCCTTGTCCCGAAACCGCTTCGCCATCTCCACGGCGTGCAGGTAGTTGCCGGCCTTGCTGAGCGCGTAGCTCGTGAACTCGCCCTTATCGAGGCGTTTGCCAATGTCCTTCATATCGACGCCGCCGGGGGGCACCAGGGGTGATTCGGCGGCGGACGAGGCGACCCAGATGACGCGCACAGTGCCGGGTTCCTCGGCGGCGGCGCTGGCCGTCTCGACAAGGCGCTGCGAGAGGAGCTTGGTGAAGAGGAAGGTGCCGAGGTTGTTGACTCCCAGCTGCAGCTCGTAGCCTTGTTTCGTGACGGACCCCTTGGGCGGGTTCATGACGCCGGCGTTGTTGAAGAGCACGTGGAGCTTGGGCTCGCGGTCGAGGAACTGGCGCGCCGAGGAGGCAATGGTGGTCAGGTCGGCGAGGTCGAGGGGCAGGAAGATGAGGTCGCCGGTGGAGGAGGGGAGGGAGGACTTGATTTCTGATATGGCGGAGAGGGTTTTTTCCTGGGAGCGGGCGGCCATGTATATGCGTGCATTTTGGGAGTAGAGGATATGGGAGAGTTCTTTTCCTACGCCTGTGTTGGCGCCCGTTACGATATAAACCTGGTCGTTTTTGTGAGGTTAGGAAGAGTTTTTGGGTTTTAATTGTTGGGAAAAAGGATTGAGGGTCCCGGAGGTACCTTTCCTTTGAGGTCAGGGAGTTCTATTTCTGTAAAGGAGGGTTTGGGGGGGGGTAGAGTTGGGATATTTGGTCGATCATGTGGTTGAACATTGTTGTTGTTTTTGCGGAGCGGTTGATGGGGTGGATATGACTGTAGGTGATGGAATTGTGTGCTATGGGGACTGTATTCGGTACAGAGGGGATGAATATGAGGTGGTTGAATTGTATTCTGTAGGGAGTGTATTCGGTACGGGGAGGATGAATATGAGGTGGTTGGATTGTATTCTGTAGGGGGCGTATTCTGTATATGAGGTGTAGTTGGTATCGTTGGTGTGATATGTAAGGAGTGTTTATATCTAGTTGGTGAAGAATTGCAGAGACATGAGCAGTCGGGAAGGCACGATGAAGCGGGAAGCTAATACCAGCCACAGGAGGCAGCTGCAAGGCACTGGGGCGGTCGATGGCGCCCTGAGGCACCTACCCTTCCTTGCCTTGCATGTGCGCAGTTGCCGCGGGCCGGGGGAACTGGATTACGCCATCACCGACGAGTGGTGCCATGTTGCCATGTCTGGACCTCTTTCTTGCTTGCCACTCCCACAGCGAAAACGAGTCCGAGTGCGATGGGTGTGACAACATCTCACACACGGCCACACCGGTTTTTTTCTGGGTGAAAGCGCGTGCCGATGATGTCTAGGCATTCAATTTTCGATGCTCGCTCGCCTCCCCGCCGTTGCGACAAGTGGAGCCAATCTTTCGGACAATGATTGACAAGTGCCGTGGATGCGGATGCGGATGCGGATGCGATGTGGAGTTGCGACTGGATCGGACAGTGAGTGTATCCTGCAAATCATTTGTGTTCCGCGGAGGACGGGGGTGGGCTGCGGCCAACGACTCGACGGCAACTTGGCCGTTTGCCGAAAAAAGCCGACGAGATTACTCCGTATGGGTCGCGCTGAAATGTCAAAAAAAAAAAAAAAAAAAAAACTGCTCCCGTCTTTGA